GAGTGAGGAACATTGAACCAACAACTGTCTGGGGCTACCTATGGGAAGGCAAGAAGGTAAGGGAGGTGACTCAGCTCTTTATGCAGTTCAGGGGCTTGCTAGGCCTCTCTGTGGAAGGCTGTTTTAAAGAGTAAATTCCAAGGATATTTACAGGTTCAATGTTGAACCTTTTCTGATCCAGGGAGACCCCATGGGCTTCACAGATATGGAATCACCTCAGTGTGCCTTTTCATTTGCTTTGTTAAAAATCTGAACTGGTGGCCAAGCAGTGGTGCAGTGGTAACACAACTGGATCCATACAGGAAAGGTCTTCGTTTTACATCCCAAGATCTTCCTAAACATGCCAGATGCACGCACATGTGCTGGTGACACAGGATGGCTGAGATGGGTTGGAATGAGGCATGAAGAGCCATGAGGGGTGCAATATCGTTCACTCTCTCTCTCTCTTTCACTCTTTCACGAAAGAAATAAAGTAACTTAAGAAAATTATGTACTAGATGAAGAAATATGGGTGAAGTTGAAGATTAGTGATATACCTCTGAGAAAAATGAGTCGATCAGTCAATCAATCTTTTCAGTTATAAATTGTGTGCTAGGGATGGTACTCATTGATAATGTTACAGTAGTGAACAAGATGAATTATAGAGCATCCTCATTTCACATTCTGTGTTGGTCACTCTCCTCTCTGGCCCTCCTGGGAAAACAGCTAGGACAATTTAGGGCTCTTGTGAAGAGTTGGGGAAGGAGGCAAAGTTTCATGGTGGTCCCACTTTCTCCTCTATTCTGCACTGTGGTTAAGTTCCTTGGGCTCTCTGCTCTTTTCTCACTCTTCTTTTTCAAGTGCGGCAGTTCTAAAGCAGAAGACTTGTTGCCTGCTTCCTTTCCTGGAACTCGCTTCCTTGCCTGTCTTCCCTGTTTCCATTGGTTATGTATACTTCATTCCCTGGACTCAATGGTCTTGCATCTAAGGTTGCCCTTCAATTCTTGCCCAGTTTTTTCTTTCCACCATTCACTCTGCACCCCACCTCCATACTTAATTGGTCTTTGTATTGGTGCTTTAACAAGTTACCACAAGCTTTGTGAATGATATAATATGAATGATGATCTTATACTCTGAACATTAGAAAATTAATATCAAGATGTTAGCCAGATAGAGTTCCTTCTGGAGGCTGTGTCTTTCTTTTCCAGCTTCTGGAGTCCGTTTGCATTCTTTCACTTACAGTCTATTCCTTGCATCACTCACTCCAAACTTCATGCTTTCATTGTCACATCTCTTCTGACTGGATCCTGCTGTTGCCTTCTTATAAAAACCCTTTGGTTATACCAACTCCACCTAGACAATCTAGGATAATCTCTGTATATCAAAGTCCTTTATTTAATCTTATCTACAGAGCTCATTTTGCCATGTAAGGTAACATATTCATAGGTTTAGGAGATCAGATATGGGCATCTTTGGAGGGCCACTATCAGTTTACCAGAGTCTCCAACTCTTGTCACTTCTAGCTTTCTGATGGTAAATCTGTTCTTTCATTCCTCTGCTACCATTTAAATTGAGGTCCTAATTTTACAATCTTGATGCCTATATTATCTTCTCTTTATTATCCTTTCCACTGCTTCCATATAAATATCACTTTTTAAAACATTACCTGAAAGAGGGCCAGCAGTTGGTATGGGGATTAAGATGCTAGATACCATCGGACTGACTCTGAGGTTCAAGTCCTGGACATGTGGATTGAAAATTACACTGAGCACGTATGTGTGCATGCCCAAAATTCTGAGAGGAGAAGCAATTGTGGTGTAGCTATCTCCCCCCCAACCCCTGTGAGGTGATTTCCCACTTTCCATGTCTCTTCCTCTGAGCGTGCATGCCCGATAGCAAACAAACAAACAAAACATCACCTGAAACATTACCTTCTCCCTGACATCTCTGCTCAGAAATAACCAGTGGCTCCTTGTTTTTACTGGGATTGGAAAATATTTTTGGTAAAGAGCCAGGTAGAAAATATTTTAAGATCTGTGGGACAAGAAGCAAAAATCAAGGGTATTAAGTAGGTCATTACATAGCCATTTAAATATGTCTGTTAAAAATGTAAAAGCTGGAACCAGCAGATGACACAATGGTTACGTCACTGGACTCCTAGGTAGTCAACTGTGGTTGAGTCCCAGACCCAATGGCTTAAAACTCATGCTGGGCATGTGTGTGTGTGTGCCCAAAATCCTGAGAGGAGAATGTAAGAGAAGGGATTGAGGTGTGTCCATGCCCCTGGGGTGTGATTTCTCACTTTCTGTCTCTCTGGTAAGCAGATGGGCCCTATAGCAAAAATCTCTCTCTTTAAAAAAAAGTAATAAAATAAAAACTATTTTTTGCTTACAGGATGCACTAAAACAGGGAGTGAACTGGATTGGCCTGTAGGCTACAGTTTGCTGACCTCTGTGGTTTATTTATTTATTTATTTATTTATTTAGTTTATTTATTTATTTTTTTTGTAAAAAGAGAGAGAACTTGCAACAGGGTCTTGACCCTGGAATCCACCTTGAGTTTTACCAGCCCAGGGTCCTGCGCCTACATGTGCCCCACATACTCAGGGAGGTCTCCAGACATAAACCTGGAACCTTCTCATGGGGATCAGGCTTGCAGAGTGTTGCCTTTTATTGCTGCACCACCATTTACTCTTGCTCCCTCTTTCTTTTGCCGACTCCTGTTTTACACAATCAAGTCTGAACTGCTCAGCCTCAACTCAAGCCTTTACCCCACTTTCCTACTTCAACTGCTGCTCTGACTGCCCCACACAAGCCTTCTGCTCTCACTCTGGCCTCTCTTTTCTTTTGCTTGAGCTCTATCCTTTACTAGAAAAGTCATCTCTTCTCCACCCACTCAAATTCTACTTACTCTTCCAGACTGGAGGAAAGTCCTGCCTGTCCCTTGACTCCTGATCCTAACAGCCACCATGATTTCTCCTCCAGTGATCTCATTCCCTGTCATGTGTGTAGCAGGAGAGAGAGAGGCCAGGCCTGTCAGCTGGTACACCGAGCACCACACCCAGCACTGTGGCTGTGCCATGGCGGAGGAGCCCAAGTGTGAGCATTATCCACTCACTGTATTTGTTATGAGGAAAAGAGAGTGAGCACCACTGATCAGTATCATTTAATTAGTACCTAATTACATAATGCCTTATGTTGTTGTTTAACTAGATTACATGCTCCCTAATGGCTCTGCCCCGTCATGTTCCTCTTTGTTTCTAAGAGTTATATGCATATATTTACTGTGGTCTCCGTTGCTCAGACAAGGGAATTACTTTTTTGTTGTTATTGTTTGTTTGCTTTAGGCATGTGCTGGAGAGAGACAGAAAGAAAGGGAAAGTGAGAAATCACCCACAAGGGGGGATGAAAATAACCCCCTTGGGGGGATGACCATGGCACTTCTTCTCTACTCTCTTGTTGGGATTTTGGGCACACGCACACATGTGCCCAGCATGGTTTTCAAGGTGTCAGATCCAGGACTCTATCCAAGAAGTCAACCAGGTGGGATCCAGTTCCTTAACCTCTAAGCCACCTACTGGCTCAAGGGAATTATTTTTTACTGTATTATTTCTCAAACCCCTTTAATTACAATGACATCTTGTAATTTTTGTCTTATCTATCACCCTAATTCATTTTTTTGATTGCTGGAGCGTTATGTATGCATTCATCAGAGAAAGACAAAGAGAGAGAGCAAGAGAAAGCACCACCCCCAATGGGACGTGGTTATGCCACAATCCCTTCTCCATCCTGTTGAGATTTTGGGCATGCATACAACACATGCCTGGTATGCTTCTCTAGCCAGGGCCAGGATTCCAGCCATGGTTGGTCACATGTGATCCAGTTCCCTTAACCACAAGACTTCTGAGCTGACCTCTGAGTTTATTTATGAAAGGCAGTGTGGTATAGTGATTTGGAATATGTATTCTGGAAGCAGAGTGCGAGAGGTTGAGTCCTTACTCTGCCGCTTCCTAACTGTAACCTTTGAAGAGTTTCCTAACCTCTCTGTATCTCGGTTCTCTGCTCTGTACGGGAACAAAGTAATTTTGTCTATCTCACAAGGTAGTTGGGAGGGGAACCTAATGAATATGCTCTAAGCTCTAATGTGCTTGACACACACTAAGCATACGTATTCTCAGCTATTATGACCATCATCGTTACTGTGCCCCACAACCCTTGGGGAACTGGATTTGCAGCTCAGTTGGCATCACATAGCGGCACAGAGCAGGTACGATGCAAGTGCATACACTTGCTTTCGTTTAAATGACTCACTTTTAAAATACCTAATTTATTTAAAAAGGAAACTTTAAAATTTTTTTTTTCGTAAGAGAGACAGAGAGAGAGACACAGCCAAACTCAACAGGGTTTTCACACCACAATCCTCTCCAGCAGCAGGCAGCCCTGTGTCTCCGGCACATGTATGCATCTGGGTACGGTTGTGTTACCATTGCACACCATCCAGCCCCTAAAAGGAAACTTTTTAAGCAATGAAATCTACAAATTTGAAGCTATTGGTGTCATAATTTTATATTTTTTTCTGCTTGACATATAAAGAATTTTATTTTTAATAGCAGAGCTATTATAAAATGTTCTCTGTACCACCCCTCATGTCTCGCATGTGGGATAGTCTCACTTAATTGACGCAATGTAGAAAAAGAAGAAAATACGCTTATCTTTTTTTTTATATTCAGTGAGGGAACAATTCACAGGGAAAGCTTTAAAAATGAACGTAATGCTGCTTGAATCACATGTCTGAGGAATCCTGAGTGCAGGGTCGTTTCCATGTAAGGTACTAGAAATCCCAGGATAGATCTGTTTTATAAGCTTAGTTGGTTCTTGCATTTTAAGACCAGGTTCAACCATTCTGAGGTGGTTTCCTAATAAGCTGAAGTTTACAGAATGGAAGCCTTTATAAAACTGGTGTCAGGGATAAGAGTAACTTTCCCAGATATTATACTAAATAAATAAGCCAGACACAGAAAGCAAAATATTGCATGATCTTACAAATATGTGGATTCTGGGACCAGCAATTGGCGTAATGGCTATGTTGCTGAACTCCCATGTAGTAGACCATGGTTTGAATCCTGGACCTGGTGGCTGAAACTCTCACCGGACATGTGTGCATGTGTGGTAAAATACATAGTTGAATACAGTGAGTAAAACTGAGTAGGTGGGGAAATGGAGAGACATTGGTCAAAGGGTACAAAGTTGCAGTTAGAAAGAAGTCTGCAGATCTAATTTACAGTATGATGACTATAGTTAACACTGTGTTGTAATCTGGCAATTTACTAAGAGTAGATTTTGTAGGCCCTTAGGCCCCGCCATCCCCTTCCCCCACAACTATGTGAGGAGATTGGTACTGGACCTGGCAGCTTAAAAAAAAAGACAAAACAAAACAGGGTCCAGGGCCAGTAGGTGGTGTAATGGTTAAGGCGCTGAACTCCCACATGACCCAGCAGTTTGAAAATCACACTGGATACCTACAACTTTACAATGGCTATGTCCCTATGTGATAGGCATTTTCAGCCCCACTTATGGACTCCTTAGGGACTCTGTTATATCATAGATGGAAATTATTAGGTATATGACTGTATCAAACAAAAAAGTCTCCTGTTGTAAGTTTCCAGAGCCTTCACGAGAAGGAAGCATTAAATAGCCCTTAATTTGAGGTCACTGATGGCTCCCACCATAACTGAGTCAGTGGTAGAGGGCAATTTCATAGGTTTTGTTGTACTGTTTTTATTCTTTGTTTTCTCTTACCATAAACCAATAGAGCAGGAAGAGCTTTAGCCTATCTCTTCAAATCACAGTAATTAATATAATATCACAGAAAATAACAATATAGAATGGAGGAGTTAGGTGGTATTGATGGTAGAAAGCTGCTGTGTGAACTGATGCCAAGATGCTAGTCACAGAGGTGCCTTAGCTGTGTGCTACCGAGCACACACATACAGAACAGATCCACAAGTGTGTCCTTTAGAAACGATACCAGAAAAAACATGGTAAATATTGCTTTAGATTTTAATGCCCCACAGCCTGCCCGTCAGCCAGGGTCATGAGCATGTGCATGTGTGTGCATTGGTTAGGGCTCAGGTTGATCTGGGATTTGAACTTGGCCTTTCAAGTGGCTTCCAGCATTGCAGAGTGGTACCTACTGCCTGTCTCACCTTTCTTTCTATTTTAATGAATATCTTGTTCCCCAGAAACCATATTCATGAGTGTATTTTAGTCATCGGAAGCTCTAAACGTTATAGTGGCTAACAGTACATGTTAGTTGTTAAGCAATTTAGAGCCTTGATTATTTTGTTTCTGAAATATCTTCATAAAAATTAGGAACCCCTGAGTGGACTCTCAAGTCCTGTCAAGTTGATGTTTGATTGGCTCTTTCCGTTGCCTCTTTAGAAAGGTCTGGCTTCACAGTGCGGCCAGTGGCTGGATACCTGAGCCCACGAGACTTTTTGGCAGGACTGGCCTACAGAGTGTTCCACTGTACTCAGTACATCCGGCACGGCTCGGACCCTCTCTACACCCCAGAACCGTGAGTAATCCGCATGAAAAGCCCAGGCTGGATGGAGACTATCATGCTATGCTCAATTTACTTGAAAGTCACGTGGACCTTCTTTCCGTCTAAAGTAATGTCACTTTTCTAGTCAATGAGAGTCATGACACTTACTGAAGAAGGAAGGTCTTGTTGCAGGATTAGACTCCTCAGCTGGGTACCTAAGGCCACTGGCATTCAGGCTGTGGCTTCTCTTCCTAACTTTACTCCAACATTGAAGCTTCTTCATGGCTAGATGTCCTTTCCTGATGAGGAAAGAATGGCACAGAGGGACCAGGTGAACATGGACACATGCCTCTCTCCCTCACGTTAAAGAGATTCACATTCACACTCTTACAACTCATTATGTCTCCTTTGGTCCTTTCATCACCCCCACACTCAGAACATCCCTCTAATCCTGCCCATCACTTCCATATCTGTATAAAGTTTGTGAATCTTCTTTGGCTCTGTCAGTTTTCCTTGAGAGAATCCTTCTTGGGACTTTCATTCATTTTCTTTTGGAGAATGGGTAGGCTAAGAGTGAGGAGGGAAGCTGAGAGGTGAAGCCCTCCTGCTCTACCCAGGGTGAGGAGCAGGCTTGGAGAATGGGTGGGCTAAGAGTGAGGAGAGAAGCTGAGAGGTGATGCCCTCCTGCTCTACCCAGGGTGAGGAGCAGGGACTAACCTGAAACCCCACATCAGTCATTTGGTTTTGTCACACAGAGAACTGTAGTCTCCAAGCATGAAATGCCCAGTATTTCATACCTTGTATAATTAAAGGAAAAAAAGGACGAGAAGATGGTATAATGGTTACTTTGCTGGACTCCCACATGGCCGACCATGGTTCGAGTCCAGGACCCAGTGGCTTGAAACTCATGCCAGGCATGTGTGCGTATGTGCTTAAAATCCCAAGAGGAGAATGGAGAAGAACTTGTGGCATGGTCATTCTCTTGGGGGTGATTTCTTGCTTTCTGTCTCTCCCTCTCTGTCTTGATGAGCGCACGCACTCTATAGTATAGTAAAAACTTAAAAAACGAAAACCAAAAAACAAACGACAATGACAAAAACACAGGAAACTTTTATTGGAAAACGACTCTGTACTTGGGTTGTTTGGGAACAAGGAACATCCTGGCTACCCTGTAGGAGTAGAGGAGACCAGGTTAGCATATAAACAGATCAATAGATAATTCCGTGTCAGGTGTAAGTCCTACCACAAAGTGCTGATTTATGTGTGGCGGCTGATCCAGCAAGGTGGGTAGAGGGGGAGGAGATGGAGTCCCAGTCTATTTTTTTCTTAGATTGGGTTATCAGACAACCTCTTGGGAAGTGTCATTTGAACAGAGACCTGAATATCTGGGTGTAGAGTTCTAAGCTTGTCAGAACAGCAAAAAAACCCTCAACGATCCTCAAGCTGGAAGCTGTCATGGCTTCTCTGTCCCCTTGGGCTCCATCCGAATGAGAGCCTCTCTCTACTGACTTTGTTGCTCACTGTTCTTCAGGCCACTTGGGTTATCGCTTTGCTTATGATGCTGTTTTACTTGAATAAGCTTGTGATTAATGGGCTGCCACGGTCTTCACTGGGGAGCAGAGAGCCCATCGAAGTTCATGCAGTTAAATAGCTGATGGCAGTGGAAGCAGGAGGGACTCCAGTCAGTCTAATCCCCTCCCCAGGCTGGCGTGAGGCTCACAGTGAGTTGGAGGCTCACTGACCAGGTGGGTCCCTGCAGGCCCACTACATTGTTTTTCAGCTCTTTTCAGTTTCTGTGGAAGTGTTTTCAGGGTAAACAAAGGTTACTTATAGGACTCAAGACATTTGGGAAAGAAATGCTTCTTAGAGTGGAGTGAGTGCTCAAAGAAGCATTGTCAGAGTTAGAAAGGCAATCTCTTAATCTGGCCCAGAGGGTTTACAAATGGTCCTGTTTACAAATAGCAGGCACTTTGTTAGTTCCCTTTGAATAACTGGCCCTCCTGAGACCTTTCATAGCGTGCCAATAGGTATGCAGAGAGAGAGGGCGAAGAAATGAGATTTCAGCCACTGAGGTCTATAAAATTTTGAGATAATGTGTTACATTTTTACTAAAGCACTTTCAGCCAATTCATTCAGCAAACATTTATGTGCAACACTAACAGGGAGGTGCATCATATTCACAGGTGAATAAAATATAGTAGTTGTTCGGTTAATTTTTTTTTTTTTTGAGAGGTTTTTGCTTTAGGGTGCGTGCACTCACCAGAAAGACAGACAGAAAGTGAGAAATCACTCCCCAGGAGGAATGCCCACGCTGCAATCCCTTCTCCATTCTCCTCTTGGGATCTTGGGCACGCACACACACACGCCTGGTGTGAGTTTAAGCCATCGGGTCTGGGACTTGAACCATGGTTGACTACATGGGAGTCCAGTTATGTAGCCATTATGCTATCTGCTGGTCCCTGTTTGGTTTAGTTTTTTAAAGCAGCTCACATTCTGGCAGGCAAGACAGGAGCATAAATAATTAGGAACGAGTGTGGTTAGGGGTATAACCAGGGTGTGTCCCAAGTGTTAGAGGAGCACAGGGGAGGGGCATCTTGAAAGGGTTTTCAAAGAAAGTAGGAAGTTAGGGGGGGATGTCATAGGAAGGGTGAATAGGAATTTCATTTTGGACAGGTCTGGCTGGGCAGAGAAGGGAAAGGCTTTCCAAGTTAAGGAACCTGCAATTGCAGTGCTGAGGAGGCATGCAGGAGGCAAAACCCAGCAAGGCATGCTAGTCCAGAGTGGCGGCAGACTGCAGCTTATGTGTCAGGGATGAAATGTATCCTCAGGCCACTGTACCAAGGGTCATTTGTCAAACTAGGACATCTGGACTTAATGTTGTAGGCAACAGGGAGCTGTCCTAGGTCCTGATGCAGGATGAGCAAGCCTATTTGAGAAAGATAACAGGGGAAGGAGCTGGGGAACAGTGGCCAGTGAACAGATGAAAAACCAGCCAGGGAGCTCACATTCCAGTGAAGGAATATATTGGGTTGTTGGAAAAATCATGATGTCTTTTTCCATGTTATGACACAAAAGTGAGTCATAACTTTTCCAACAACCCCGTGGGATAGGGTAAGGGGGGCACCTATTTGACATTCTTGACACCATAAAGGTGTAATTAACAATATTTGGTGATAATAATAAGGGTGAGAAGAAGGGAGGGCCTCAGAGGTAGTGCTAAGGTTTTTAGACTGGGAAGCTGATTAGGCAGTCATTTCTAGTAATGACTGAGAATACTGGAGGAGGCTCAGGCTTTGAAGGAAGAAAGAAGGAAAGAGAGAGGGAAGAGGGGATTTGGGTTTGGGGTATGCTGTCCTTGAGGTGCCTGTGGTGGGACCTTAAGCTGGAGAAGCCCTTAAGAGTTGGGAATAAGGACTGGGCATTCAGAAGGGAATTAAAAACTTCCACAATAGATTTTTTCCCTTTACTTAGAGATTTCTAAAACTACACAGACAAGAGAAAACTAAGTCAGAGGATGGAAATTTGGAATTCACTAATGTGAGATTGTGCCTCAAATCTCAAAAGGATGAAGACATGGAGGAGAAAGAATTTATATGTGCTCTTTTTAAAATGGAATTTTATAACTTATTTAAAAATTACTATTACTTTATGAGTTGTTCATACCTGTATATGGCTCAGGATTCAAAGGTCTAAAGAGTGTTCTAGGAACATTGAGTTCTTTCCCTCTTTGGTCCCTGTAACACTGGCCTGAAGTCTGAGGCCACAAGTGTTACTAGTTTGTACCGCATCTTTCCAGAAATATACCATACAGACGAAATTCTCTGTAAATCTCTTTAATCCTTATATTGCTAAGTCCTAAGTCCCTTCTCAGTCATATGAATGTATGGGATGCTATAGTGGAGCGGCTGTTTCCTGCCCAGGCACTTTCACAGGCATTGTCTTTGTAATGAAATCCCATTTCTTCAATTGAAAACCAACCAAGAGGGCAGATTCTCCAATTTGAGAAGTTCAACTTGGCTACTGCATTTGGTGCTTATTCTCAGCTTCCAGATAACTGCCTTCAATTGCTGGACTGTTGTAGTGGAGGCAGTGCTAATGAGACAAAGGTGAGTCCTGAAGACCCAGGTAGAAATGAGAGTGAAAGCAGCAAAAAAGACATGATCTGAAAAAAAGAGAGGACTTTATTTTCTTTTTCGGTCTGGGTAGAATGGATTTCGCTATCACAGCTATCAACATATATTGGGTTTTAAGCGTGTCCCCGGATTTTTATTTTATTTTTTTAATTTTATAGTTTTAAGATTGTTTTCTAAACTTGGCCAGATCAAGGATTTGAATTGGTTGACCTCAGTTTAAAGTTTGACCATGGTGGCTTGAAAAGCATGCTGACTGTATATACATGCCCCAAATCTCAAAAGGATGAAGAAATGGAGGAGAAAGTGTTGTAGCATGACCACATCCCACTGGGGGGTGCTTTCTCTCTGTCTCTCTCTGGCAAGTGAAGCTATCCTCTGACCAAAAAAAAGAGACAAAATTATAGTAGATTATTGGACTCGTTCCCTGGGGAAAGTTTTCTGGCCTGGAGGACAGCAGAGAAAGTTGGTGAGTCCTTATTTTCCTGGTGGGAGGAGTTACTTTTCCATGTGTTTCTGCATACATTGAGAGGTCGCTGATCAGCTAGGTGCAGGGAAACACTATTATTCTTTCTCCTTGTGAGCGATGACCAAGGCCATGCTCCTGCACATCAGTGTTGCCTAGTTTTCCACTTTTACCAGCTGCAATTGCAAGCAATGTTGTCACTAATCAAAATTCGTGGGGCCAGCAGGTGGTGTGGTGGTTAAGGTGTCTGAACTCCGGCATGGCTGGCCACAGTTCAAGTCTCTGATGTGGCAGCTTGGTTTCTCACTTTCCTTCTCTCTCTCTGTCTCTCTCTCTGGCCAACTACAATAAAATAAAATAAAATAATGACAATAAATAAAATTAAATAAAATAATTCTAAAAACAGAGTTTGCAAATGACTTCCTATTAAAAGAAAT